GATTCCGTGATTCTATGATTTAGTAAACGCTCCCCATTTTTTTTATTTGTTTTTTTTTTTTTTTCCTTTGAGCTCAAGACCTGCTAAAACCTCCAAAGGGCGTTTAAATGCTTTGCCAGAACTGAAGTGGATGCTCTTTGCCTGTGTCGGAAATAATCTTTTGATTCCCTCTTTATATTTATCTAGTGTTAAGTATTCGCGGTATTCAGGAAGAAGATCCCCCAGATGCTCAGCTAATGAGACTAGATAACATGTTGCTGGCAGAGGGTGTCTCCGGGCCCGAGAAAAGAGGAAGAGGAGGACCGATGGCTGTAGCAGCAACATCAGGTGGCTGTCCAAATGACAATAGCATTGAACACTCTGACTACAGGGCCAAGCTGTCACAGATCCGACAGATATACCACTCTGAGCTAGAGAAATATGAACAGGTGATCTTTCTGCATGGAAGAGTTTTTATCATCTCAATTAAAAATAACCGTTTTTTCCTTTTGGTGTCGGTTTTGAGAACAGAACAGGAAGTGTAATGAATTCAGGTGAACGCGAGGATATCGAGTCCAGTTGGAAACTTACCTCAGTGTTGCAGACGTAAGGTGAAGATAGAGGGACCGGACATCAAACTAAAGAAAATAAATGTCTCGTTTATCTTTGTTGCCGTTTTTTTAAGGGTAAATAGAGTAAAGCTGAAACATGGAAGCTCCTCTAAAGTTTTTTTTGGATATATATTCTTGTGGGGGAAAGGAACTCCAGGGTCTTTTACTGTTTGTCGATACAAATGTGTGCGTTTGCAGGCCTGCAGCGAGTTCACCACCCACGTTATGAACCTGCTCCGGGAGCAGAGCAGGACAAGACCGATTTCGCCAAAAGAAATCGAGCGCATGGTGAACATAATCCACGGGAAATTCAGCACCATCCAGATGCAGCTGAAGCAGAGCACGTGCGAGGCAGTAATGATCCTGCGTTCCCGCTTTCTCGATGCAAGGTACGCGAAAACCCCAGCCGGCGATGAGGTGGCATTTAAGCCCGAGCTGCTGCTTGTTGCTCGATGCTGGCGCTTGCGTAAGAAACCATAAGAAACCTCCCGTCGGTCACTCCCAGCGTTGGTCTGGTTTAAATATTAAGAATTCGCTGCCCGTTTTGCTTGCTTATGTACTTTGATGTCAATGGCTATTTAATTCCGCTCAATTCTTAACGTTCTCCTTCAAACCCAACATATTTCAGAGGCAAAGAGAAGCCAACGGGGTGCTCCGGCCGATCCATTCTGTAACATGGTTTAAATAGGAATAACCGGTGTTTTCACAGGCGTAAGCGACGTAACTTCAGCAAACAGGCGACAGAAGTACTGAATGAATATTTTTATTCACATCTGAGTAATCCTTACCCCAGTGAAGAGGCCAAAGAAGAGCTAGCGAAGAAAGGTGGCATCACCGTTTCGCAGGTATGAAGTGGTTTATTGGAATTAAGTCACTTTTTTTTTTTTCCTTTCCCTCAAGAACAATGAGGTTTTTTCCCTGTAGTTAGCAACAGGCTCCAGCTACCGGTGCTTTAAATAGGATTTAGGTTATTCTGGGGGGGTTCAGCCTGGAGCAGAGGGGCAGAGGGGAGCCCTTCTGGCTGCCTCCAAGTGCCTGAGAGGAGGGGGGAGCCGGGGGGGTCGGGCTCTGCTCCCAGGGAAGGGGCGCTGGGACGAGGGGCAGCGGCCTCAAGTTGTGCCAGGGCAGGGTGAGGTTGGCCATGGGGAACAATTCCTTCCCCTTGGGGCTGTCAGGGGCTGGAAGGGTGGTTCCATGAACGGTTTAGCAGCAGGTATTTTCTGCTCGAAGCCTAGTTTAGAATGTCTCCTTGGCTGGTAACCTCCGAATTTAGTGGACAACGCAATAATCTGATGAAAGGCTAACAGCGCTGTATTGTCTCCAGGTTTCCAACTGGTTTGGTAACAAAAGAATCCGATACAAAAAAAACATGGGGAAGTTCCAAGAAGAAGCTAATATTTACGCCGCAAAAACAGCGGTGGACGCAACTAATGTCGTGGCGCAAGGCAACCAGGCAAATTCTCCGTCTACACCAAATTCAGGTGAGCGAGGGTGCTGGCGAAGAGTCTCTCTGCTTGAAAGCCCCTTAATTATTTCTTGGGACAATTAGCGCCACGGGATACCGGTGTTTGAAACGGTTGTGGGATTTCTTTTTCTTTTGAACTTAATTGAACGTAAGACTCGCTGAAGAACCATTGGGGGTTTTACTTCTCATTAAAACACGTTCATTTTTTTTTTTTTTTCAGCTTCCTCTGGCTCTTTTAAGATGACAAATTCCGGAGATTCGTTTATAAACTTGCAGTCATTGACTTCCTACCAGAGCTCCCCGGTGGGAGCCAATGTGCAGTCGCAGGTCAGTAAGGAGAAAAAAAACCAAACCAACCCCAAACCATGCTTTCAGCAGTAGGATAAATGTTAAAATCCCATTTCTCTGTCCTTGAAATGGGATGAACGAGTTTCCCGGGGAGGTTTTGGAGTCTCTGTTCTTGGAGATACTCAAAACCCAACTGGACGCAGGCTTGAGCCACCAGTTGACCCCAGTTCAAACCTACTGCTATTGTTCTGTCCCTTTAAATTGACATCAAATGCGTATTTTCTCATTTTAGAGTCAGTCTGTGCCTCATTGCTTTTAAAAAGTTCTTTCTGTGACCACTTTTATCAACAGGTTTCTCCTTATTTTTTTTTTTTCAGCTTCCTCTGGCTCTTTTAAGATGACAAATTCCGGAGATTCGTTTATAAACTTGCAGTCATTGACTTCCTACCAGAGCTCCCCGGTGGGAGCCAATGTGCAGTCGCAGGTCAGTAAGGAGAAAAAAAACCAAACCAACCCCAAACCATGCTTTCAGCAGTAGGATAAATGTTAAAATCCCATTTCTCTGTCCTTGAAATGGGATGAATGAGTTTCCCGGGGAGGTTTTGGAGTCTCTGTTCTTGGAGATACTCAAAACCCAACCGGACGCAGGCTTGAGCCACCAGTTGACCCCAGTTCAAACCTACTGCTATTGTTCTGTCCCTTTAAATTGACATTAAATGCGCATTTTCTCATTTTAGAGTCAGTCTTGTTCCATAGAAGTAGAACTTTGCTTAGGATTTGCGATTAACGCCGTTGTTAAACTCATTTTAAGCTTTCCACCAAACTTCTAAGTCCATCTGAACTGCATAAAACCTGTTCCTCCGCCATAAAAGCTAGAGGCGATCGGCACAACACGAGGCTTTAATTCCGCTTGCTAACGAACGGGCTAGCTATAGCTCAGTGGATAGCAAGTACTGTGCAAAGAAAACTCATTTTCCTGCAAGAAAATCTGCCCCCAAAGAATTTTTGGCTCGATAGATACATACCACATACTACTGCGTTTCGTTAACTTGACTTTTTTTTTCCCCCCCTTGCTGTTCTCGCTCTGCGGCCTCTTGTTCTAGATGGATTCCTTACATCATGTCATACACCAGACAGGAAGATACGACACAATTGTGGGGAATCCTTTGTATACGACGCAGCGCATAGATGTAAGATGTGCTGAGGTATTACTAAGAAACACGGAATTCTGCCCGGGATTGGTTAATGATCTGTGAATAAATGTTGATTCTTTTATTCCCCCCGACACCGCTGATGCGGGGATAGGAATAAAGCTGGAAAAGGTGTCGTTAAATACGCCAGCCTTTCCCTCCCAGAGGCTTCATTTTAAATTTTGGCTTCGTTCACCAGAAAATTTGCGCGCTTTGGTTAATCCGAAGGAATTAGAGCACCGGGAATAAGAGCAACACCCTAAAATCTGGGGAGGGGTGGGGAAAGAGGTTTTATGGGATATTCTGTGCTTTGCCAGAGCCGACCCGTAGTTATTTCCTTTCAAAAGCACCGTCCCTTGCGCGGCGTAAACGGTGTCAAGGCATACGTTGCCTGCAAGCAGCTTCTGAAAGGTTTAATGCAAGGATATGTTGTGTTTACTCTCCCTTCAGGCTAATGGCAGCTGGCAGGATGCTACCACCCCTTCATCAATCACTTCACCTGCTGGAGACCCTGGAAGTGTTAATTCGGATGCGTCTAATTAAGTTTTTAGGACCTATTGATGAGAGGAAAGAGGTCATTAGTGTAATTTGTCAGTGTTGCTCTTTTGCCAATACTATTGTTTATACAACTTGACACACAGCTAATTACCTCAGAACCCCCCCCTGGAACCAATAGAAGATTGTGATTACAACGATACCTCTCTACCTCTCAGCCTCACGCAGTTGAGTTCTTTTGACTTATGCCCATTGGGATGTGAAATTGTTTGAAAAGAACTTGCTTCATTTTCCTAACCAAATTCATTTTTTTAAATATGGATTTTATGGTAAGAATCTGAAAGTGTCTCTTCTAGAACTTGGCGTTCGTCTCAAGTTTTACAGCTTAAGAAAATTGACTTATTTTAATTTCCATAAAGTTTTTTACTATGAAGTTTCTGTTCTAGTTGATAGCTACTAACAGTTAAACCCCCTGTATTGTAATTGTATGCGTTCTCTGTATTGTAATTTTGTATAGGAAAATAAGCTTTTCTTAACTAGAATTCATTCTGAGCTAATTAATCAGAACGTTGCTTTACCAAAACTCTCACTGGACTTTGCTCTCGGGTAGGACCTTCCATCCTGTGTCATTCCACGTAATTCTAATTTAATGTCTAGAAAAAAAAAAAAAAAAAAAAAAAGAAGGAAAACCACCACCAGAACCACCTGACTTCCCCATGGATAAGAGGGTTTTGTGCATTTCTCCAGCTGTTAACACAGAGTCCACCCCTTTCAGTTGAGATTTTATCAAAGATAATAAACTTCCAAAGCCTTTTTTTTTTTTTTTTTTTCCTTTTTTCTTTTTCTTTCCCCCTCCCCTCCCCTCTCCTTACTGCTTTTCCTCAGCGGGGCTGAGGGAGCGCCGGGTTCCCTCAGGGGAAGGGCGGGAAACCGGGGAGGGGGGGGGGGAAGAGGGCGAGGCGGCTTCTGCGCATGCGCCGGGCGCCGGTTT